CATTATATTTCTAGAGTTTATTACAATGCCTTATAAATAATTAGTGCTCAATACTTAGTAAATGACTAAATTCAGGAATGAATCAATGTAGGAATGAATGAACAATGAACTCAATCCTAATATTTCCCCACTCCCAGCTGCCCAGAATCAAGTTATATTATCCTCTCTAAAATCGAACTAATACACTAACTGTTGATGAGAAGACAAGGTGATAAGGATTTACGATGCCACTATTAGGGGCATAGGGATTTGAAAGAAAAACAGAAGATAAATAAGGAGGGGAATGAGGGAGAGTGAAAGGGAAATAAGGAGAAGAGAGATGGAGAGGAAGGGAGGGGGAGAAGGCAGGAGAGGAAGGAGAATGAATGAAGTCCTAGAGTTTACTTAATAAAAAGGAATAAACAAATGAAGTATCAACTTCAGAGCTAGTTGTTTAAGGGGTAGGATCCTAAACTCATTTCAATATACTTAGTTAGTTAACTACCTTCTTATAATAACGGGGCCTGGATATCATGTATATTATTAATATAACACCATATTTTATTCTCTATAACAATGATTTGCTATTTGGATAAATATGAATAAGCCTCAATTTTTTGTAAGCACAGGCTGTTCTCCCAATTTTTAGAATAGGAATCTTCCTGTTAATATGGTCTCTTCATAATCAGTGTTTTTACTAACATAAATCAGCTATCAATTACCACATCATCTCAGGGCACCATGCCACTCAGTGGCTGCATGATCTTGTGCACATCGCTTTATTTTTGAGTCTAGTTGTAAAGACAGGGATATTAATATCTACCCTGTAGACTTTAAGCTATAAATGCTTACAGGAGACAAAAAGATCATTATATAATAATAGAGAGGTCAATTCATCAAGATGATACAGAAATCATAAATATTTATGCACTCACCACTGGAGCGCTTAAGTATATGAAGCAAATACTAACAGAACACAAAAGAGAAATAAACAACAATACAATAATAGTTACGAATTTTAATATCCCACTCTCAACAATGAATAAATCATCCAGACAGAATATCAATAGGGAAACAGCAGCTTTGAAAAGCACTATAGACCAATCAGACTTAAGAGACATATACAGACCATTCTACCCAGTGGCTACAGAAAACACATTCTTCTCAAGCACAGGAAAGCAACAGAAAAGACTGTAAATATAAAGATTGGTTCTTGAAAAAGATAAACAAAACTGACAAACTTTTAGGTAGATTAATCAAGAGAAAAGAGAGAGGGCTCAAATAAATAAAATTAGAAATGGAAGAGCCATTACAACTGACAACACAGAAAGACAAAGGATCATAAGAGATTACTATGAACAACTATATGCCAATAAATTGGACGACCAAGAATAAATTTCTAAAAATAGACAATCTACTAAGTCTGAATCATGAAGAAATAGAAAATTGAAACAGACCAATAATAGGTAAGAAGATTGAATCAGTATTTAAAAACTTCTCAAGAATTAAGAGCCCAGGAACATGTGGTTTAACTGAATTTTAGCAAATGTTTAAAGAAAAATTAATGCCAATCCTTCTCAAATTCTTCCAAAAAGTTAAAGAGGAAAAATTTCTCTGAAACTCATTATACAATACTAGCATTATCCTGACACCAGCCAAATAAGGATACTACAAGAAAACTATATGCTAATATTCCTGATACATATAGATGCAAAAATTCTCAACAAAATATCATCAAACCAAATTTAGAAAAGCATTAAGAGGATCACACACCATGAACAAGTGGGATTCATCTTTGGGATGCAAGGACAGTTCAACATATACAAATCAATAAATGTGATACATCACATATTTGAAAGATAAAAATCACATGATTATCTTGATAGATGCAGGAAAAAGAATTTGGCAAAATTTAACATTGTTTCATGATAAAAATTCTCAACAAATTCGGTAAATTGAGAATGCACCTAAACATAACAAAGGCCATGTATGACAAGCCTACAGCTAACATCATACTCAATAGTGAAAGGTTGAAATTTTCCTCTAAAATCAGAAACAAAACAAAGGAGCCCACTCTCATCACTCCTATTCAACACAGAACTATGAGTCCTAGCCAGTGCAGAGCAATTGGGTAAGAGAAGAAAATAAAACACATCCACAATTTTTTAAAAAGTAGATAAATAGTTTCTGGTTCCAGATAGTCTGATCTGATATATATAGAACACCCTAAGGCTGTGCAAAAACTATTAGAACAAATGAATTCAGAACTATTAGAACAAACGAATTAGAACAAATAAAGTTATAGTACAGAAAATCAACATACAAAAAATGTTACATTTCTATACATAAATAATGAACCCTCTGAAAAAGAATTAAGAAAAAAATCCCATTCACAATAGCATCAAAAATAAAATACTTAGAAATAAATTTAACCAAGGAAGTGAAAGTTCTGTACACTGAATAATATAAGACATTGTTGAAAAAAATTGAAGACACAAATAAATGAAAAGATAACTCATGCCCATGGATCAGGAGAATTAATATTGCTAAAATGTCCTTATTACCCAAAGCCATCTATAGATTCAATCAATCCTTATCAAAATTGCAATGACATCTTTTACAAAAATAGAACAAACAATCCTAAAAAAAAATCTCTGGAATCACACAAACTGTGAATAGCCAAAGCAATCTTGAGAAAGAATAACAAAGCTGGAGGTATCATACTTCCTGATTTCAAACTATACTACAGAGCTATGGTAATCAAAACAGTATAATAATGACATTAAAACAGACGTGCAATGAATGAAACAGAATTGAGAGCCCAGAAATAAACCCTCATGTATGTGGTCAAATAATATTTGACAAGGGAGCCAACAATATTCAATGGAAAAAAGATAGTCTTTTCAATAGATGTTACTGGGGAAAACCAGATATCCACTTCCAAAAAAATTAAATTAGATCTATCTTACACTCACAAAAATTAACTTGAAAGAGGTAAAGACTCAAATGTAAAACCTAAAACTGTAAAACTCCAAGAAGAAAACAGGGAAAAAGTTCCTTAATACTGGTCTTGGCAATGATTTTTTGGATGTAACACCAAATCATAAGTAACAAAAGCAAAAATAAACAAGCAGGACTACATTGTATTAACAAGCCTCGGCAGAGCAAAGGAAACCATCAATGGATTAAAAACGCAACATATGGCATCGAAGAAAATATTTGCAAAAAATATATCTGATAAGTGGTTACTTTTCAAAATATATAATGAATTCATAGCACTCAATACAAAAAACAAATAATCCAATTAAAAGAAGTCAGAAGAACTAAATAGACATCTTTCCAAAGACATCTATATGGGCAACAGGTACATGAAAAGGTGTTCGACATCGCTATTCATCAGGGAAATGCAAATAAAAACCACAATGAACTCTCGTCTCATCTCATTCAACAGAGTAAGAGCCCCTCAGTTAAACTTACTTTCTAAAAGTCTAAGGAATTATCATGTTAATTTTTCAATATTCCTGTCACATTTATAATTTAATTACACGAAACACTTGGGTGTTACCTGTGTCCTTAAGCATCAGTTCTTTAAACTAAAAAGGCCATATTCACTCACTTGTAGATGGTTTAGGGCACTTGTACTGATGCCGTTTCATTCATTCACCTTCTGAGTGAATGAATGAAACGACATCAGTACAAGTGCCCTAAACCATCTACAACTAGGATTACTTAAAATTTTGGTCAAATTCTACCATGAAAAATTCTCTTACCACAAAAAATCATGAGTGGTACACAGCAACATATCTTACATCAAAAATTTGGACCAACTAAAGAATTTGGATCTTTAAGAACAATTATTCTGTACTCTAAACCTTACCGTAAATTATGAAAAGGCAAATTTACCCCAAAGATATTTACATAAAAATAATCATAAAAATCCTATAGAGCAATTTTATCAAATTATTCTGCATGGCAAAGATCTAATGTGAAAAAAATGCTTTGGAAATATAAGTATGAAATCAGGTTCTTCAAAAAATGCATGTAAATTTAATTATTCCTGGAAGCTATTTTTTGAAATGGGCAAAAATACCCGCAATGTGTCATAAATGCTATATTTCTGCTCAGAGCAGTGATTTAGAGTCACGCTGCTTGCCACAGCTAGAGTTCCTGACAAAGGCTGAGGGTATCCGCACAGCAGTCAAGTTGCTCATTATCTAGAATGCTAGATATAAAACTGTCAGCTTCCAATTGTTTGGTGGGATGAGGTATGAACATATTTCAAAGAAATGACAGAGAAAAGAGATTCAAAATTCCATTCCACCTCAAACGACCTCCCTGTATTACCTCTGAAACGGAGATGGGTTATGAAATCAACATTTTTACCAAACAGGGTAGGTGACTGAATCATCAAGAAGGACACTGACACTATGGCCTAGAAATGCAATTACACTGCAAAACAAGTCAGCACAGGTAAGAGAATTAAACACACACATATACACCAATCTTGCTCATCATATGGCCTTCAGCAAGAATATAAATTTTTGACATTGAAAATATTCCTTTGAAACAAAAAACATTCCACTAATCCACATTCTATGAATGTTTTAGCTAATCTGGAAGGTCACATTTATGTTGCAACTGCCAAGTGATATTGTTTATGAGAGGCAAAAATAATCTGGACACCTTGTGCCTCCCTGCCACCTTCACCTATTGTCCCGAGCCTGTTGCACCAATACCACACTTGAAATGGCCGGAAGAGCCCTTGGTTTCCTTACAGGCTCTTAGCATCTTCCTTTTACTGCTAGATTACTTCTTCCCTTCACATCTCTCCCAGGGATTAAGGGACAAGACTAAGAGGATGGCAACACCACTGAGGAAAGATACTAAGAGTACCCTCCTCCATCAAATTTAGTGTGCTAGCAGAACCTCTGCAGGAACTGTAGTCTGGACATAAACCAAGGTAGGAGGCCTCTGAACCTTAAAGCAGATTTGAATTTAGCTGAATTCTCAGAAAAACTTACAGCTTTCAATTTCCAAGGTGCAGTTCTGTTCATCCAGTGGGTACCGCCGTAGGTCCATCATACAGGCAGCTGTGGTTGTGATTCTAGAGAGAAATAACAATAATATAAGCTGTTAGCTGGTCCATGGCTGGAGGTGGAAAAATTAAATCCAAGTATCAAAGAGGACAGAACTGAGCCTCTGGGAGATTGATTTAGCTGAGGCTCCAATGAAAAAGAGTGCTGCAACTCTGGATAACCATTTTTCTTTATGAGCCTCATGCTGATTTGTAAAATAAAAAGACTGGACCAAATCAGTATTTTCCCAAAGTGTGATCCATTACCTATTTGTATCAAAGTCACCTAGGAGTGTTTGTTAGGCAGTTTCCATGCTCCAGAATATTCTGGGGTGGGGCAGGGACCCAGGACCTGTATTTTACAAGCATCAATAGGTGATTAAGAATATCAACACAGATATTCCTCTTCCATTCACATTTGTTTTCTCCTCCCTTTCTCAAGACCCTAAAATCTAATCTTTGATCAATCCTGGCTTTGGTCCATCATTTTTGACCTTTCTGTGCAAGTACAACACACAATCAGCCGTTCGTCCATCACCTGAATTGCTCTGTCTCGAGTAATCTGATATTCTTATGACCTATGTTAGAGAACTTCCCCCTATGGGCTGGCAGAGTTTTTTATTTAGAACACTTGGTACTTTTATTATTTTATCAGAGAGAAATGAATATGTCTCTTTAATGTTTTTATATTTGTCATCATTTTTCACTTATCTCTCTGTTGAAGACCAACTAGAAAGAGCCAAAAAACATACGGTCCTAATTGATTTATCAATATATGTTTTCTAAACAATGAAGTAGCATAAGGTCATGAAAAAACATAAGTTTTAGAATACACCAGACACAGGTCTGAATTCTAACTGCCTCATTGACTGCGATTCACATTAAGATGGTTAATATTTCCTAACCAACTTCAGTTTCTTTCTCTGTAAAAAGGGAATATTAACAATAATAGCAATTATCTAACAGGGCTTCTGGAAGAACTGATATACTAATTTATATTAAGAATATGAAAGAGTAACTGACATGAAGTAGTAGGTCCTTTAAAAATTTACATCTGCTGAAGAAAACTAAGAGTAGAGATTGATGTTGAATTTGACCAACTTTGGCTGACACTCCTCTGAAGGGCATGATACAATGTGTCAGGAACAGAGAAATAAGATGCAGCCCCATCTTGGGAGAAATAGTCTAGTTAGACTTTTTTCATCAAAAAGGTTTTAGACAGAGCTTGGATGAGCAGTTGGGCTGAATCTATGCAATTCCTCAGTTAGGTGTGAGAGTCCCACTTCTCAGTCGTGGGATGAAAATACAGTTGTGCCCCCTCATTCATGGTTTTGCTTTCTGTGGTTTTAGTTACTTTCAGTCAACCGTGACTGAAATAATGAAATAGAAAATTCCAGAAATAAACAATTCATTAAGTTTTAAATTGCATGCTGTTCTGAGTTGCAGGACAAAATCTCGCACTGTCCCACTCTGTCCTGCCTGGGATGTGAATCATGTCCTCAGCCAGTGTCTCTACCCTGTATAGTTGTGGCCATCTTGGTTATCAGATTGGCTGTCACAGTTTTGCAGTGTTAATGTTTAAGTAACCCTTGTTTTACTTAAGAATGGCCCCAAAATGCAAAAATGCTGGCAATCCGAGTATGCTAAAGAGAAGCCAGAAAGTGCTTCCTTTAAGTGAAAAGGTATGTATGTACAGGAAAAAAACACTATAAGTAGGGTTTCAGACATCCAGTGATGGTCTTGGAACATATCCCCTGCAGATGAGTAGGGTGACGTACTGTGAGTAATTAATTTAATATAAGTAGTTCATGCCTCTTTAGTTTGATTATTGCTTCATTAAGGTTTGTGCTCTGCTAATTTTCGTTTCCTTTTTAGTATTCAGTGAGTATCCTAGGGCCAATGTTCATCTGTGATTCTTTCCTTTCCTTCACTGAGACCTGCCGGCGGCTCTGCATCAACCCCTTTCCATCTTCACTGCCTCCCTAGCAGTCCATGGCCCCACTGCCTCTCCTCCATGTTACCATGGTAGCCTGGCCTCCCAGCCTCTATCTGCTTCCCTGCTTACTATCTTTTATCCACACAGTAGTCAGAGCTCTTTTAAAAACATAAACCAGATTTTATCACTCCTCTGCTTACAAATTTTAGTGGCTCTTCCAACAGAATCCAAAGTCTTGGCTATGACCTACTATGGCCTGAATAACCTGATCCTTCCTTCTCAATAATATCTCATACTTTCAAATCCTCAGTATCTTCCAGTCTTTGTATTTGCTCCTTCTGCCTAGCATATGTGTCCACCTGGTCTTGATACTTCCACTTAAAAATCGCCTCCTCTGAAAGGCAGCCAGCCATCACTGAGCAAGCCAGCCAAAGCAGCTAGCCAAAGTCATTGCCATAACTAAAGCTCCATCTTGTCTGTTTATTTCCTTTAAGCAATTATCACAATCTAAAATTATCTTGCTTATTTTTTAAAGAACTATTTCTCATTATAAATCTTTTATTTAGAGGATTATTTCATTGTATTATTCCTCTTCTTTTTTAACTTAAAATTATAATGTATCAGGTTTTAGACATTATTTTTATATTTTTAACAGTAAATAAATCTTAATCCATTTAATTAACATTATGTAAATAGTTCTAGAGTTTATCTTATTATCAAATTGCTTGTTTCTGCTTTCAATGAGAGTCATCAAGTTTCTAAATTCTATAAATTCTATAAAAATTAACATACACATTTCATTCCTTGCTTAGGGTTAAAAAAAAAAAAAAAGACAATTTTTTGGCAATGTGATACTTGGCTGAGTTTCTCACTAGTCCACTGGAATTTTTTTTTTTTTTATAGTAGATACAACATAAATTGTCACTAATTTAAAAGAACCTGTATTATGCAGAAGAGAAATTTCCAAAGGAAATAGGATTAGGTCTATAATGGGCATATCAAACACCCATGCTATTTATGTAAAACAGCAGAAATAAACCCTGTCTTGAGAAACTAGAGAAAATCAACTTCATCTGACAGAATGAACATAAAGGACATGAAAGGTACAAGGGCACACATATGACAGAAAAGGAAGGAGCTGTAAACAGATGCCTGACTGTGCAAATGAGCCAAGTTTGCAATGACTACTATAGATATTCATGGCAACTGACATCTGTGAACTAGTGCTGTGGACAAGAAAAATAAATCAACTAATGCTATCACAGAAGCAATGAGTTTCTACTCATGTTTTAAAAGTAAAGTTGAAGAAAGTGTTTTTTCTCATATCAACAATATACATATTTATACCAGTTTTACATTTTTTAATGCTGCAATACACTCCATAAAGTTAAGAAAAATAAATGCTTTATAATCGATGTTTATGAAGCATTTGTGTCTTCTTTTGGATTAAAACAGAAACTTTATAGCTGAAATAATCCATTTGGAATCTTGATCATACAGACCGGTATGAGTGACCTGGGACAAGTCACTTATATTCGCCAACACATGGTTGCCCTGGAAAATTTGAATTAGATACCTGACATTGTAATTTGTTGTGGGATGAGATGTAGGAAGAGATTTATAACTCTTAAAATGATTTACTACTCTTGTTATTACTACTGGCTAATGAGAAGATACAGTGATGACTCATCTGACCAGCGGTTATTTGATAGTATACATATGTATGCGCTTGTGTACATAGAGAAATATAGGATAATCACACTTATCAGCAAAGCAGAGATATAAAATAGGTTCTACATAGCTTCCCAACACATAATTATGCAAAAATAATTATGCCATGTGTGTATATAGAACTTTAACAGCTTCCAAGACAAAATACAGACATGCATCTGTGTGCTTTGTGAGATCAGGAACCACATCTGTTTTTTTAATTTTATTTGTATCTTAAGTACTTTGCCAGGTGCCTAGCACCTGTCACTTACCCAAGATTAAAATTAATAATAATAACAACAAAGACAAAACAAAGAAAAGAAAGCCATGGTCACAAGCATTCTCAAACTGAGGATTTTGAAGCAATTCTCTATAGTGTCTGATTTAATTTATATAAAAAGTTCTCAAATAAGTTTTAAAGTAAAAATCATCTTTATACAAGAAGCTACCTGGAATGAATCTTATTCAGAAAATCTCTGTGAGGAGCATCAAAATCTATTCTTTGGGGTGTTCTGATTTATAACAGAACTAAGTTTTGCCAGGAAGAAGTCAGAACAACAAATATACTTAATGGGTTATCCATGATCATGCCTTTCTGAATTCTGATAAAGATCCTTAATTTACTCAAGCCTACTACTAGGAATCCTTGAAGTGAGGCTTGTAACTCATTATGCAGATATCCTGGTTAAGTTTTAAGACCACTGTGAAATATATGGAGACAGCTTTGTCGTCAAAGGAAACTGTAAATGATGCCTCCAGAATCTCATTTACCTGTGGCAAATCTGTAGTTAAAAGGAGAAATGAGTCCTCTCTGGAGTTGAATTCTATTGCATGATAAAAGCTACCTTTGCAAAATGCTAATATTCTGACTGAGCTAAGAGATCTTAGGATACACTATTTATTCCTTAGCCACTGGGCACTGTCATCCAAAAGTAACTGGTGCTATAAAATCCTTACACAGAGCAAGAAAATTAAATATTTTGCATAGCTTAAAACCATCTCTGAAAGGCATCTATAAAATCAAGAAATACAATCGCTATGCCAGCATTTTGTACCAAAGTGTAACATATGTGTTATAGTGTCACCTGAGATTTAATGGTGCTATCATATTATCCCAAATTTGAATATGACCAAAGGTAGTTAGTTAATAAGTAATAATAGCTGCCTTTGCTTCTCAGTTAATAGGAAATAACTCAGAATCATAATTAACGTGACATGTTTCCAGTCTTTCAGCAGACTCTGAGGTGGCTAAATATGAGCCTTGGTTAAATATGAGCCTTAACATGTAAGAAACTTGTCAGGATCTAATCCGGAGATTATAAGAGAATTTGAATCTCAACTTTGATTTCTGTATCTAGATAACCATTCATATTCCAAAAATATC